ATGCCCATGTGCACCCGTCTTGAATTCTAATTGGGTTTCTCGATACTAGCTCTCGAATTTTACATTTTAAATTTAGTCCTGATATTTTCAAATCAATCACTCAAATGTTATAAATGTTTTGAACTTACTCTCCAAATCTTCATATGCTTAAATTAGTCTCCTAAATCTTTTAAACGTTCTGAAATTAGTCCTTCGAGCTAACATTTGGTGGAAGAGATTAGGGGTGGTGATTCCTAAATACTTAAACAATTCTTAGAGTAATTTCAAATATGAAGATTTTGAGGGACTAATTCAGAACATTTAGAAATTTGGAAGACCCAAGATATCTAGAAGCGGGAGGACTAATATGTATAAAAAAATTCCTATTTTATTTCTCAAGAGTCCTTCCCTTTTCCTCTCTCTCCATTCCAGAAACAACTTAAAAACCCTCCAAAAGAAAAAAGTTCCCAAAAAACCACAAAAATCTAGGGTTTTCCAAAAGGACGAAGAAAAATGGCGATGGGATCTACTGCAGCCGGAGGCCTTTTCAAGTCCCTCAGCCCAAGGCTCGCCTACAGTCAACCGACGTCGCCGCGCCGCGGTTGGGGCGTCGCCGCTTCCACCGCCGCTCTTGGCTCGTCCAGGTAATATCTCTCTCTGGTGGTGGTATAGATTTTTGTTAGGTTTCAGTTCAATTTGTTCAATTCAATTTTGTATTGATCTTGCTCTATTTGGGGGGGGGGGGGGGGGGTATCTGAATGGAATCTACGCATGGAAGCGTACTGATGTGAGGAATAATAGTTCCGTAGTTAAATTTATTTAAAGCATTTGTTACGGTAACTTGAAGTGTCATTGAATTTCGTTGCAAACACCCAATTCATGGTTTCGAATATTCGTTGATGATTGCACGGATTCGGATCGAAGTTTGATTCCTGTTTCAAATTACATTGGTAGTTTCATTTGAAACCATGAATTGAAGTGTCATGGTTTCAAAGATGTAATTTTCAGGAAATTGTCAATCACTGGCTGAAGTAACTGAAGCCTTGGAGAAAATTATAGGGTTGTCTGTGTAGAGGATCAAAGTAATTTTCAAGCTTATGCTTTTAACTCAATCAAAGTTAAACTAGTCGGGTTGTTGGAATGGAGTAGAAAATTTGAAATAGTGAAATAGAGGGTTCTGCCACTAAATGGCTTCTTCAGTTGTCATTTTCTCCTACTTCCTGTTTCTTTTCTAATGAAATGGGTACTTTGGATCCCTGAAACCAAATTCAGGGCTAAGATTGGACAACCCTGACATAACCCACATCTAGTTTCTGGATATATTCTCAGTTTATTGTGTAGACAACCATTGAAAGTTTTCATGTTTCATAATGTCTTAGTGTGCCAGAGCGACTTAAACCAACACTAAGTGAACTCCTATTTCCATATCACTAGTTTTCTACTTTATTGAGGCATGGTACTGGGTTTTTTTTTACAGGATTATTAAGCTTCACGGATGACATAAAATACAAAAAGGCTTGTTTTTATTGGTCACGGGATATAAGTAAAGGTATCTATGGCGACATTTATCGAAAATGTAAAGCTTACTTAAATATGCAAGTGCAATGACCTAGATGTTTTAATCATGTTAAGATAGTTTAGCCATGATGCTCATCATAAACTAAAAATGCATTTTTTTAAGAACAAATGGACCAAACTGTTCAATTTTAGAAGCCAAACCAGAAAACCTGACTTTAGGGACCAAATAATCTCTCTCCCCCTTTCTCTGTCACATATTGGGATATGCATATTGCAAAGCAATCCTATGAATGGAAAGTATAAGAATGCAAGGATCACAAGTAAATATTTAATATCCAAAATTGAAAGTAGAGTCAAATATGCTAAGTTTTTTTGGGTATTTTTTTTTTCAGCGGAATATGTAGTTTAATTTCCAAGCTCATGTTGATTCTGATGAAAGTAAATTGGAGTTGCGCAAGAGGTAGGCAAACTAATGAAAGAATCGAGTGTTAGACTAAGAGAATTTTGGTAAATACCAATCGTTTGTTCCAACACTATGTATGCCTTTTCCTTAGCTCGTTGTTTAGGGTATATATCAAATCAAAATTAATACTCTAATACGACTATAAGAACTCTTTGATCCAGTTCTTTTTTTAGCACTTCCTGTATGTTTTAAGGAATTGTTGTCGGGTTAAAGTTACTCCAGGTTTAGAATGGTTCCAGTTCTCTTTTTAGCACTCCCTGTATGTTTTAAGGAATTGTTGTCGGATTCAAGTTACTCCATGTTTAGAATAGTTCAGCAATACTTACACTTGCAGTTTGATTTTTCTCCTTATTGGTGTGAAATTTGGTGCTGATCCTTCACCAGTTTCCTTTTGCGTTCATTTTAGACAAAGGACTAACCACAATGAAAGAAAGAACTGGATATGGATAAAATAGTTAGTCCATCTCAAAACAACTTCAGAAGGGTAAGCAACTCGTTTAGACCGGTTGAGACAATTTTGCCTCTCAAAACGAAGGTCTTAATGTCAACCTCCCTCTTTCATGTTACAAATAGCCATTCTATTAATAAGAAGGGGATGACTACTCTTTCTCTTACCAAGCATAAAAATGCACATGGATTGATATATTCTTTCTGATTACTTGGTTTTTCCTTAATCCTTCCTTCTTAAATTTTTTAAATGGCAAAAGTTATCACAGAGTCCTGGTTATGCTTTGCAATTTCCAACAGTTTGTCCCTAGTGCAATGATAAATGGGCAAGGATGTTTTAGGTCGTCAATGATGAATTTAGCGTCACACAGATTAGGTTGGGGGATTATAAGAGAGGAAAAAGTTAAGAAGCTTGTACATGACAATACAGTCAGTTTGCTAGTTGCTACTTGAAATGTTTGATCACTACAAAAAGAATGTGGGACCAATAGGTATGCAGAAGAAATATTAGCATGATTTTATTTGCAAAAAACTAAAACGAAGAATGAAACCTCTAGGAAAATTGAGAATAGAGAATATAAATTTTGCAACTTGATATAGAAGAAACCGGTGTCTAGTAGTTGGTCTAGTTTCTTCAGATGCCGAAGTGAATACATGTAATCAGGTACATGATAGAAAATGTTTGATATATAATAATTCTTTAGAAGAATTATTTTACTTTTCTTGGGAAATCCTAATTCCTAGCAGTACAAATGGTGCCGAGCAAACACCACTTATGCGTCACATGGAGCTAAGTAGCATGGAACAAAGTGTCATATGGAATTGCACTCCAACCCAAACAATAGTATGGAGTTGCCATTGCAGATTGCATCTTTAATTGTCTAGTGGAGTGTTGTACGCTGCAGATGCTAGACACTAAATTCTCTCTCTCTCTCTCTCTGTGTGTGTGTGTGTGTGTGTGTGGTGGTTTTTTTTTATAGCCCCAATCAACTATTTAAGTGTATTCTAGAGAGGTGTTTGCTTTAATGCCCCCAATCAACCCGAGAATTATGGTCACTTTTATTGAGGCGAGGACTTGGTGAAATTTGCTTAATGAAGGGCTTGGAGCATACGAGTACTAGGATTGTTGATCTCCTAGGAGATTCTCGCACGGGGCATTTTTTTAGATCATGTAATTACAGACATGTGATGCAGTAGGATTCCATGTATGTGCAATAAGCAAGGGGAGTAGATAATCTCAGCGAATAGGTGGGAAGAAGCGTAAGAAACAGTAAACAAGGAAAGGAAATAATTTCGAGAGTAGGCGGAGAGAAGCATCAGAAGTTAAAGGTTTGGAACTAGGAGGATGAAAACATATAATATACAATGTTACTTTGACAAAGCTTAAGGGAAAATGAGGATTCAGTTCTTATTAATGACCGATAAGTGCCGTGAAGTAACCATTTCAATGGTTAGGACTAATAATTCATATAACAGAAAGATTTAGGCTAATATTGTTCACTCAATCAAAGCATATTGTTATAATGGAGAATTGTATGTAATTGTAACATGCCCTTGAAATTGGAAGGAAGATTTAAAAGGTGGCCATCTAACCAAGCATGCTGTAGGAATCAGAATATTCTTAACTAAGAAACAACATGTCCGGAGAAGATTTGGAAAAAGAAGTCGATTTTTTTTTAAAATAGAGAGATGACCTAACATTAATCGAATGGAAAAGTAGGATTCTTGTAGTCGCCTGACAAGATTTGGAAAATGAATTTGTTATTCTTTTGTTGTTTTTCTTGTCAGGTAGAGCTTTTATCCAAATAGTTTTAGGGTCACGTAAATTCCTTTGATATAAGGTTTTGTTGTTTATCTGCTTTTATATTAGTCTCATCTAAAGTTGCAAATGTTTTAAAAATTATACTTCAGTAGTCTCGTTTTCGTAGGCATATATTTTCTCTATCCTGTTAGTTTCCTATGCTAGTCTTGGTAGATACTGTGATTTGTTTTGGGTTCTCCACACTCGTCAAACCAATGAGCATGGAGTGATAATGCTCTGCTCAAAAGAGATTAAGATTGTTTTGGATGTAACTTTTGAAATTTCACCCTTTTCTATCTCTTAATGGGGTCTTGTCAGGGATATTAGAAGTTTATGGAATTTAAGTTACTATGTTTTGATAGTACTAGGTGGACAGATCATCAAAGTCAGATGTGTATTTTTTAGAAACAGTGAAGATAAAGGAGAAGAAGGAATACAAGCAAATATGTAATGTTATGTCTGGACAATCTTAATAAATCATATTTGATCAATTAGTTAAATATTTTATCGTCTACCAGTTTGCTGATGGAGGCTTCACTGAGAAATCAGTATGGTTTAATCACTCTTAATATTTTATCGTCTACCAGTTTGCTGATGGAGGCTTCACTGAGAAATCAGTATGGTTTAATCACTCTTACACTTTCTTCTTGCGCTCCCCTCGTGCGGTTTTTCTTTGCTTACCCAATGCCATACCTTAGATGTTTCCACATCTATTTCTAATTTTAAATTCTCAATATTATTTGCAGCCATTTGATTGGTTGAAGAAGCAGCTGTTCGAGAAGCCAGAACCGGAGCAGTGAATTCTAGACTCGCTGTGCACAGAAGAAATATCGCTGGTAAAAAGCAATCCTTCTCCCTTCAGTACTCTGTCGGGAAGATAAATAGGCACCAGAGGCTCACTTTAATAAAAAAAAAACAAGGACTTTTGTTTTCTTTTTCCTACGAGTTCTTTTTCCTAGTTATGTATCAAGAACCACCTTTACCCATGTTTCTACGCCAGGGTTGTGGCATAACTGTGGCTGTCTGTTCAGTTGTGAAGATGGTCTTAATTGAGCTTAATGATATTTTCCTTCTATATGTTGCTCAACTCATATCATAATTTCTGAATGATGCAACATCACAGGATCCATCCGTGATTCGGCTAATTTGCTCGGCGCATATGTTTTCATTGCATCTTTAGCAAAAGGTTTCTAAATATTTTGACTATCAGCCCAAAGTGTTTCTGCATGTGTTGAGCTATAGGGAATTGTTGTGGGCGTGAAGTTGATAGTACTATGGAACTCTCTCTTTGAGAATTGGTGTATAAGTGCTGCATGCTTTTTGAAGGAATGAGGTGGTCTGGTGCATGATGTTGCACGCTTTCTGGATGAGTATTAAATGGTAAATTACCCTTTTATCTATATAACCTGTTTACCCATCAGTTGGTTTATTAGCAACTTTCATCTCAGTTCATGGACGTAAGGGGATTTGACCTCAAAATATCAACCTCGGATGATAGGATGGTCTAAAGGTGAGATACTATAGTAAACGCATATGTAGTTGGAAAAGAAAGAAGAAGAGTATATAATGCAATCAATCAGGTATAGTATCATTTAACTAATGAAAATAGAGAGTCCAAACTCCATCTTACTCTTAAAAAAGGAACTTCATGTCAAAGTTTGTCCTGCAATTTCCCAAAGTTATAAAAATCACGATCGCGGAAAATATTAGCGAGATGGCATCTCCCCTTCGCTCTCCTCGGAAGGGCTCCTGTTCTACACTGAAGAAAACATGCAGATTGAAGACAGAAGCCCTTGAGGGAGAGTGAAAGCTAGGTGACTCAATGCACACAATCTCCATTAATATATACTAAACTTGAGCTAATATTTCTTACTTTGCTTTGTTACATTGAGACCAATCCTAGGATTTATATAGATTTCATTTTGTTGGGGGGCAGAGAGATTATTGAATCTAATCTCCAATAAGAGATAAGGATGGGTTATACTTTTTCTCTGTACACCCATATCTAAGAGATCACGTCCACTTTTCCTATAATGCAGTATCTTTCTGACCTGTAATCTGTTTATGGGTTTGCTAAAATATTAGATTATGAACTACTTTTTGGCAAGGCACTTAAATTTTGATTTGATTGCTTATAAGAGATTAATACACGTTTATTTAGGCATTTCTTTTCGAACAAACTATAATAAGGAGTGGCTCTTGGAGAAATTAAGAGCTGAGCTTCAAAGGAATAAAGCGTTGAGATTTCTAGCTAGGATTATTGTTGACATTCTCTGCCTAATACGCTTGTGAGAAATGATAAGATGCCGCATATCTTTGGTTTCTGTGGTTGAAGGTTAACATTCTTTTGCCCGTTTGAATTTAATTGTTGTCTTTTGAACTTTGGTGAGAGAGAGTTTCTAAACTCAATATGATGTCCTTCTCTAGCCAAGGACCAAGGTAAGGGTATCAAATACAAGGAGCTACATTCTTCTAACTTGTGCGTTCTTTTATAGCCTATTATGAATATCTCCTCGTATTACAAAAAAGGCAGATAAACCATCAATTGTTTCATAGAGTTTTGCAAACCATTGCTGAAAGGAAAAGTGAAGGGGAGAGAGCGAGAGAGTGAAGGAGAAGAGCAAGAGCACTAGTGTGCAACACAGGGTCCCGCACATCCTTACCTTTCTATTTTTTTTTGGTACGTTTGAGCGGTCATGGACCGCTAAGATCATACAAAAATAACCCTAGGTCTAGCAACACCAATGAGGTCTTCCTGTAACAGTTTCCGAAGTTCGCCTGGTGGGTGATCCAACTGGGCAACTTCGAAACCCCCATTATAAGCACATGCTGCTAAATAGTCTACACACATATTGGCTTCACGGTAAGTGTGCACTACAAAATAATTCCAGCTACGTTGCAGTAGTTCTTTGCATGCCCGAACCACTTGATGTAGAAGATCAATAGGATTGGTAGCCTCATTCACATTGTTAACAGCTAATAAGGAGTCTGATTCAATGATAACATTCCGCAAGCCTCTCGCCCATGCCAACTCCAAGCCATGATAAATAGCAAACAATTCGGCTTTGGTAATATGGCCATATCCCAACCGTTGTATGAAGCCAAAGCACCAATATCCTTCCTCATTACGGGCAAGACCACACAAGGCTAGCTCTCCTGGAGTCCCTCGTGTTGCCGCGTCTACATTAATCTTGACAAACCCTCTAGGTGGCGCCCTCCATGCTACCATCATGAGTTCCTTTGGTAGAGCCACACTTGGCACCCCACGTAGACACCTATACTCCAAAACACTAGACATGATAATACCAAAAGCATTAGACGGCCAAACTAAATCAGGTGCAAAAATAGAACCATTTCGCCACTTCCATATATACCAACACACAAAACAAAATAACTCATTCCAAGGGGTGTTGTTGCCGACAAGAAAGTTTGAGTTGGAGAGGTTTAACCACAACCAATCCTTCAAGTCAAGAGCGGTAAACTGCTCCAATCTCCTTCCATTCAACCAGTAGGACCAGATGGAAAGAGAGGAATTACAGTCCCGTAACAGAAGCATGATGTTTTCTGTAGCAAAACCACAATGCAGACAAGTTGCTGAAGAAGTAATATTCCTTTGAAAGCATGTCTCCCTTGTAAGCACCTTGTTGTGCATCACAAGCCACATGAAGTGTTTGATCCGAGGTGGTAAGTTTGGCTTCCAAACCAGGTTCCATTGCCCCTCCAAACGAGATTTCTCAAGCAATAATCTGTAGGCAGAACCCACGGTAAAAACACCGGTCAGAGTACCCCTCCCCCAACCCACAATTTTATCTTCATGACTCATGTTAAGCATGAGCTGTCTTAGTTCATTTTGAAGACTATTGGGTAGAGCTTGAATGAGGCTGTCAAAATCATGCTTATGCTGAAGGAAGTCGTGGACTGTTAGCTCCTCTCGATCGCGTGAATTCTCCTCGCCCAAGACTTCCACCAATGGTTTATTCCCTAACCAGGAGTCTGACCAGAACCGTGTGGCCTTACCATTTCCAATGACCCGAGAGCAACCCATACGAACTAGAGGTTTGCTTGCAGCAATGCTGCGCCATGTATGGGAAGAAGCAGGCTTAACGACAGTTGAGAGGAATGAGCTCCTTTTCAAATACTTCGATCGAAGAACGTGTGCCCAGAGACTCTCATCACCCTATTCCAACTGCCATCCAAGCTTGGAGAGAAGAGCCATATTCATGGAATGTGTTTGACGAATACTCAGCCCACCATCTTTCTTTGGTTTACAAACACTGTCTCATTTCACCAACGCCACTTTCTTCCTCTCATTTGTAGAACCCCATAAAAAATCTATGTTCAAAGAATCAATTGTTAGATCTAAATCAAAACTTGAGATCTAAAACCATATAGCCATGATTAATTCGAAGAGATTAACAAGAATCTAAAAAAGCGGAAGCTTATACCTAAATCCATAGAAGAAATCTTGATTTGGGTTTTTTGATGTTCTTCTAACCATAGGGTTCCTCTAAATCCGAAATTTCTCTTTCTAGATGGGGGTGAAAAGAATTAGAGAATGTTAACCCTAGGTTAAGGACCATAACCCCTTATTTATAGATGTTGTACTTTTGTAATTTAGCCCCTCAATAAATCACAATTACAACCTGGTATCTGCACATATAACCCCATGATTATATTTAAATACCCATTAACCCAACTTAATTGATCACTTTAGTGGGTTATCCTGAAAGATAGCAATACACATTGATTAATCATATGTGCCCACAAATAGATTTATTAGATTAAATCAAACAATCTCCCACTTGGGCACCATATGATTCCTTAAATTGTGTATAACCTTATGAGCTCAAAAATTACTATCACTGAAAAGGTATTTCCGAACAATCTCGTCCATTGACTATATCAATATAGGATCAAAGCGGCCTTCGTCACATTTATCGTGACTCGACCCATCAATGGTCACATATACCAATACAATCAAACGACATAGATCAATCATGGATGTGCAGCATGAAAATTACATGCAATGTGATCAGTACATGTCTATTTTCAACTGGCCCTCCTTAGTGAGGTCAAAACCAAACATAATGTAACAGAGTGTCTTAACTGAATACTTTATTCTGATCAGACAATACAACCAAACATAAAGCACCACAAATACAAACTCCCACTAAAACATAATATCCTCAAATAATATCACACCCATATGAGCAGTATGCTCATGAAAGACCTTAGGTGGCAATCCCTTAGTAAGAGGATCAGCTATCATGGAGTTTGTCCTAATGTGCTCTATGAATATCTGTCCACTCTGTACCATTTCTTTCACAACCAGGAACTTAATGTCAATATGTTTTGACTTAGTTGAGCTCCTGTTGTTATTGGAATACATTACTGCAGATTTATTGTCACAATATAACCTTAGTGGTCTTTCAACATTTTCCAAAATGCGCAGTCCCGTGACAAAATTTCGCAGCCATATTCCCTGATTGGATGCCTCATAGCAAGCTACAAATTCTGCTGCCATAGTGGAGGAAGCTACTAGTGTTTGTTTGACACTTTTCCATGATATAGCTCCTCCTGCTAACATATAAATGTAGCCTGATGTAGACTTCCTGCTATCTTGGCATCCAGCAAAATCAGAGTCCGAATACCCAATGACCTCTAATTTCTCTGATTTTCTGTATGTGAGCATGTAATCTTTTGTTTTCTGAAGATACCTCATAACCCTTTTGACTGCTATCCAATGATCCATACCAGGGTTGCTTAAGTATCTGCCTAACATCCCAACAATGTACGCAATATCCGGACGCGTACATACTTGAGCATACATTAGACTTCCTACAGCCGAAGCATAAGGAATCTTCTGCATTTCCTGAATTTCAAGGTTACCTTTAGGGCACTGATTGAGACTAAGCTTGTCTCCTTTAGCAACATGGGTGTCACCTGGTCTGCAATCTTGCATGCTAAACCTTTTAAGTACCTTATCGATATAGCTCTTTTGTGATAATCCAAGAATACCCTGAGAGCGATCTCGATGTATCTGGATCCCTAATATAAAAGAAGAGTCCCCAAGATCT